CATATCACCGGCTCTCGTACGATCACTGAAGTTAAGCAATGTCAAACTTGATCAGTACCTAGATGGCTGACCGCTTGGGAATACGAGATGTTGTAAGCTTGGATGTGCGGGTGGCGTAATGGATAACGATTCGGAATTAGAAATCGGGGAGTCAAGTTCTAATTCCAGTTGTGTTCGTTATATTCACTTATATGAAAATACCATTGCGAAAGGTATGATTCCACCTCTTCTCCCTCCAGCTATGGGTTAATTCGTACGATGTGTATCAGTAAATAATTATTATCCCCCCCCACGATATTCTTACAATCTAAAAATATTTTATATATATTATTATTTTAATAAAAGGTTGATAAGCAGTAAAAAACAAATCAATCAATGAATCTCACTGTGTGCTCAGCTACTGCGGCTCTGAAACAAACAAAGCTTAATAAACAACTTGAGTTGTCTCCATAGAATAAATCGTAAACACATCTCGCAGACCATTATAATGGTCATGATTACGATCACTTGTCCAGTAACCAATGTGGCACTATATGTTTTATAATCGTAGCAGCAATGGGTGTGTCTAGTGCAAGATGTCCTGAAAGAGCGTCTCCCTTTTCAAGCTGGTGTAGCGACATTAAAGCTAGTAGCAATAGCAGCTTTAAATAAAACTTATCAGCAGCAGCACGAATATTAAAAAAAAAACACGTGAACACTAAAATAACTCTCTCATGCCGAGTTTTCCCTCTTTCGAACTGCTGACATGAACTTTCCACACTGAAGCTACAAGAGCTGCGAATGCTTCACCATAAAACAGACCAACAAAGTTCCCACTATAACATATTAATGAACATTTCGTTTGTGTATGCAATTCATGTCTAACAAAAGAAACTTTTGTTGCAAACTTTACTTTTGTTTTAATAAATGTTATCTTTGCATTGCAAATCAATTGGTTTATTATTTTTTGCGTGTACTCTTTACACCACCATTATTCCATGTGCTATAAAATGTTTCCGTAAGAAACTTTACATATTTAACTACTGAAGTAGCTAGTCACTCAACTTGTTTTGAAATTACAGTTTTCATTCTAGAGAACTCGGTCTGCGATTTAACCCAGAGCTACAAGAAGAGACGTGTTCGCGTTTTCCTAATAGAATTTGTGGTATTTTGATCACTGCTTACACTTTTGAATATCCATTGCACGTCCCGAATATCCAAAAAAATACACTGGTTGATTATGTTGATGTCATTTTTCAGATTGCAGGATATTTTCCAAGGACTGAACGTGGCTATATTCACGAGTTTCTATTTTAGAGATCTCCATTGAATTACAGATAAAATCATTGGAATTTTACCAGCGGTAGTTAAATTGTTTTTTTCCTAGATATGCTGCTAGAAAAGTTGGTTGATTGTGTCATGCCAGACAAGTTTTCTTATCGGAATCCAACTTGCACGTTTATAAATCAACCATTCATTCGTGCATCGAATATTGCAACCTCATCTGGCTTGGTGCCCCTGCGAGATATCGCTATATTTTCGACAAAATCTAAAGTTTTTATCTGCAATGTTATCGGTCCTGACCTAGCATCTCGACATCAGTCACTTTCGCACCGCTGTGATGTGGCTTCTCTCTATCTTTTCTAAAAATATTTTCATGACAATTGTTCTAATGAGGTTTCCTCCTTGCTAACTCAACCTCGTGTATTTAAACATACAACTAGATTGGCAATTAGGTCTCATCGTTTTATTGTTGAACTATAACCGTAAGTTCTATTCCAATAGTTTCTTTTCTTGTAATTCTCCCCTATGGAACTTCTCCCACAGTTTCTTGCTCCTCTGCCATCTACGATCTTCAAAAATCTAAATACAACATCAATCGCCATCTTCTGTCCCCTTAAATGCACTTCTTTTATTTCCCTTTCTCCTCTTGATTCTGATCCTAGTAGGATTGTTTGTTTGTTTTTAACATTTTACCCAAGCAAGACAGGAGTGCCACTAGCACACAAGGAGTCACAGAGAGTGGGAGCAAGAGTAAAGAGGCATGATAGAGAAAAGGATGAGGAGAAGGACGGGATCGATCAAAGCATCTGAAGATGTCGATTGACATTGCATTTGAATATTTAGAGATTATAGCTATCAGGGAAGCAAGGAAGAGGAATGGAGTTCCACAGACGGGAAGTGGGAGTAGAAGAGGCGGCTACATTTAACCGTTTCCACAGTGAAAGTGTGGGACTGAGATGCCAACCTAGTAAGACGTTTAAATTCATGCAGTTTGGGAACCAGCGAAAATAGCTCGTCGGAGCAGTTACCGTGAAAGTATTTGTAGAAAAGACAGAGGGAAGCGACGGTACGTCTGTGAGAGAGCGACTGTAAACGAGATGCCAGATCAGGGCCAATCACATTGCATGTCAATCTTTGGATTTTGTCGAGGACCTTAGGACAAACAGACCATATATGAGAGCAGAATTCCATGCAAGGGCGAATGGTTGATTTATAGATTTGAAGGATAGATTCGGGCGAGAAAATCTTTCTGGGGCCACTGCAAAACCCAATTTATCGGCCGAAACACAAAAATGAAAGCTGGGATAAAATAGGCCAATCCTTGGTTCCATATGACTCAGTTCCGGTCTGTCTTGTCTTGACGACAGAACGCTACGTTTGTTTATCTGAATTTCCTCTTCTGAGTCAACCCCAATTCTTAGTTCGTGCACTTTTTGCCATATTACTGTGTCTTTGCCTTATCACTGTTAATTTGCCTTGCATATATTGTTTGCTTCATTTATACCATTTGTTTTCTCTTTTCTTTTTCTTCTTATTATTATTACAAATTTTGTCAATTCACTTTGTTGGGCAGTTCTGCCATTTGTTTCTATTTAACAATGGCCACTCACTCTACAGGTTATGAGCCTAGCCGCTTCTACTGTGCCAATGTTTTTTTTTTTTTTCATTTTCTTTCCCCTATCAGTGGCTCCTTGCGTCTTCATTGCATTATCGCTTTGCCTAGGGTTAAATGATTAAATAAATTTTTTAAAACATTTGCGAATTGTTATGATAGTTTATTCTTCTTTTATGTGCCGTTCCTTCAAGAGGTAGGTGATCATCGCCCTCTACTTTTCCCTGTCCCATTTAACTCTCTATAAGTTTTGTGTTTTTGTTCCAGATCCTGTTATGCCATCCACTTTCCCGTTAAGTATGTCACGCATAGCTTTCCATTGTCCCTCTTTCTCTCTATCCGCCCTGTGAATATCAAATTTTCCAAGCCTTCCTTTCTCGTTGCGTGTCCCAGAATATTCGGCTGCCTCTTCCTGATATTAAGTATAAACTTCCTCCTTGTTTACACCCTCTTCAAAACCTCATCGTTGCTCACATGTTCACTTCAAGATATCCTTAGCATCCTTCTGTAGTTCTACAGGATGCTACCTCCGCCACCTATCGTAATCATCTGTAATATAATCGATCATGACCAGGAATCTCGACTTCAGTCACTTTCCCACCAACGTGACGTGGCTTCCCTCTGTCTTTTCTACAAATATTTTCATGGCAACTGCTCTGACAAGCTTTTTCCCTTGGTGCCTCAACTACCTGAATTTTAGCGTACTAGCATCTAGGTCCAACACTTTTACTGTTTAAGCAGCTAAATGCAACCACCAGTTCTACTACAGTTTCTTTTCTCGCACTTCCTACGTGTGAAAGTCCCTTCTACCTTTTTTGCTTTGCTGATAGCTACAATCTTCAAAAAATTAAATGCATCGTCAGCTGCCGTCTTTTGTCTTCTTGAACCCCGTTCATCTTTTTTCCTTTTATCAATCCTCCCTATTTTTAGTCTTCTCTTTCTCTTTCACTTTCACTTTCACTTTCACATCCTGAAACCACTTGCGTACTCGTGGCATTACCGCCTAGCTTGGGGTGAAATAATTAAAAATAAAATAAAAAATATGAAAAATGATAACCTTCGTACATGGCAGTAAATACTGGGCATTTTTCTTACAGATGAAAATAAGACTTGAGGCAATATGGTTTTACAGAAGAATGCTGAGGATACTATGGTGAGGGCGTGTGATCAACAAGAAAGTGTTAAGATAAATATAAATAAAGAGGACACTTAGAATCATAAACAGGAAATTGAAATTTCTGGGAAACATAAAGATGGTTTCGAGAATTTGAAACTCGCAAGACATATTGAAGGCAAATGGGTCAGAGGTAAAAGACAAATTGTGATGAACTGATGTAATATTTTGTAATTTTCCAAAACGTGAAATCAAGAAGTCGTAGTGAGTTGCTCTTCTAGAGTTTAGGATCAGCCATGATGTTGGTAGGCAGAAAAATGTTCTTTATGGTGGTTTAATTATTAGCATGCTGCTTTCAGAGTCAAGTTCTTTAATTTATGGTCTGTTTATTAAGCTTAGATTAATACAAAACAATATGAAAGCGATATAACAAGGAAAGCTGTTTTATTCCAAACGTCTAAATAAGAGGACTTGTCTGTCTAGAAAATCGGCGACTGTTAGTGGCGGTTGAAGTTTAGCTATTTAAACAGTAAAAGAGTTGAAACTAGATGTCAATCTAATAGCACGCTTAAATTCATGTAGTCGGGGCACCAGGGGAAAAAAGCTTATCAGAGCAGTTGCCATGAAAAGGGAAGTAACCTCGCATCGGTGAAAAAGTGACTGAAGTCGAGATGCCAGGTCAGGAGCGATTACATTACAGGCCCTTGTTTGGATTTTGTCAAGAATCTCGAGATGTTTACCAAGAGCGTCAGTATTCAATGCATGGACGAATGGCAGATTTATAAAAGATGAATTGAGACGGGAAAAACTTTTTGGCACGACAAAAGGAACCAAAATTCCATGCAGTAGACAAAACTATTGATTCAACATAGTCACTCCACTTCATGCCAGTGGAAAACGTGAGGCCAAGAAGTCGTAGTGTATTGCTCTCCTGCAGTTTAACATCAGCCATGATGTTGGTAGACAGAAAAATGTTCTCTACGGTGGTTTAATTATTAGCATGCTGCTTTCGGATTCAAGTTCTTTACTTTATGGTCGGTTTATTAAGCTTAGATTAATACAAGACAATATGAAAGTAAGGCTCTTTTATGCCAAATGTCTAAATAAG